AATATACAACACAACAATTTGTAAAGCGGAAAATAGGAATTAGATAAATTTAAAGTGGCAAGTAGGAATTGTATGAATACATATATATCAGTCAATATTTCAAAAAACAAAAACAAGAAATGCAGTGCTTAAATTCACAAAACCAATCAATCAATCAATCAGTCAATGTATCAGCCTTTGAGATTTAAAAACAAAAACAAGTTGAAAAGACTATCAATTTGAGCAATGCTTTGTTTGTACTTTCGTGCTCTATAAAGGAAAAGTGAGACCATGCTCATTAATATTTTAAGACCTTTTTAATGGCATCAAGACAGCGCCACTTGTCAGGCAAATAGAAGGGTTCAAATATATGTGGAAATGGGGTGTCAAAACCAGTAACTCTTTGAACAGGTGCTTCCAAATGAAGAAAACACTCCTCCTGCAAAGCCCCCAAAAATAAAATGATTAAAAATACTATTGGAAAAGAACTGAAACAGTATTTTAAATTAAGAAAATTTGTCAATAACAGTGGTTTACCTGGATTGATGCTGCCAATTCTGCACCAAATCCTCCTGTCAGTGGAGCTTCGTGAGCCACAATGACTCGGCCAGTTTTCTTAACAGACTTAAAAATGGTCTCCCTATCCCAGGGCAGAATAGACACAAGGTCTATAAGTTCACATTTGACGCCCATCTCCTCTTTGGCAAGTTTTACTACCTCATGCAGGACATGGACTTGAGTACCCCAACCTATGAGTGTAACTGCATCTCCTAATGAAAAAATAATAATCCAGAATCAGTACCCAATTTAACACTTATAAAATTTAATTTGGGTAGTAGCAGTCAAAATTATTACCTTCAACAAGTACATCAGCTTTACCCAGGGGTAAGGTATAGTCTTCCGTTGGAACATCTTCCACAGCTGCTCTGTACAATACTTTTGGTTCAAGAAAAAGACAAGGATCTGGGTCCTGAATGCAGGACAGCAGAAGACCTTTCGCTTTCCTTGGTCCTCTAGGAATCACCACCTACATACAAAATGTCAGATACAACATGAAAATGGGCTGCCACAACACACAGTTTTCAATATTAAATGTTAAGGGGGGTCACAATACCTTTAAGCCAGGCGTGTGAGCAAAATAAGCCTCCGGGCTCTGTGAATGATAAAGTGCGCCATGTCCAACTGCACTGCAAGGTGATCGAATGGTAAGGCTTCCACAATTGAATAAATTTCCACTACGGTATCGAAACTTTGCTGCTTCATTGATGATCTAAAAGTAACAGATAATCTTTGAGTATAAAAAAAATGTCATATACCATAGAACATACTTGAGTGTAAACTTACCTGATCAAATGCAGGAAATATGTAGTCAGCAAACTGTATTTCAGCAATAGCTGTTGACCCTGCAGCAGCTACGCCAATACCAAAACCAGCAATACCCTGCTCTGAAAGCGGCGTATTAAACACACGATCTTTCCCATACTTGTCCTGCAGACCAAGGGTGCACCTAAAGACTCCACCAAATGCTACATCTTCTCCAAATATCACTGTAGGGATGGTAAAATGGCTGTAACAGCAGCTGTTTCGCAATACCACACTTAACACCTAGAACTATAAGACAAACAAACCTGCAGTGTCATCCGTTTTAAGTGCTGTGTCCAGAGCATTGTTAATGGCTTGAAACATATTTATTCGGGATGTAGCTTGACCTATAATAACCAATAATAATAAAACCGGTAAAATATTAAATAAATTGTGAAGGGACCATTATGCAAATAACCCTCACAGGCCTTACCATCAGCCGCATCGACAGTATCAGCAACATAACTGAAGTGGGACGCTGATCTTCTTGACGCATTTTGCACACAATTTATACGAGCTAAAATTATCCGAGAAGGATAACTTAAAGATCTCAGAAATGACATAGAGCCAGTGAGAGCCATGTTTACAGGGGATCAGCTGGAAGTCGGATGCTTCGAGAAATTCGAGATCCAAAAGTCAAGGTTGAATGAGTATGAGAAGAAACTGTGTCGTCAAAGCATCAGTGAAGCAAGAGGGAGACATGGGACCTTCCTTCAGCAGGGAAGGAAGGGGGAAGGGGAGAGCGCAGACAGGGCAGATTCGGAGCTGGCCCTCTAACTACGATGTTTCTTAAACACCCGCACATTTCCCTTCCAATTTGTCGACGATTACCAAGTTGCACGTCTGTGACGTCATCAGGCCAGGTCTGTTGTTCTGCCGGGAGACAGACCCCCACTCCTTCCCTTGCATACGCGGGAAGAGGGAGGAGATTCGGAGAGGAGAAGGGGAGCAGTGCATGGAGAGGGCTTTGAACAGGGAGGGGAGGAGGGAGAGGGGCTTCGCCGCTGCCGCAGCCAGTGACCGGCCCGGCCTGGCGGTGAGCGTGTTTGTCCCACTTTTAAGGTGCGTTCCGCCCGACTCAGATGAGGCAGAGGGTCGCGTTGACAGTGAACACCAAAGTAGTGATCTGAAGGGATCGTCGACGACGACACCATGCAAGTGTTCTGCGTGCTCGTGCTGGCCGCCGCGTGCGCGAGCGCCTACGCCGGCGCCGCCACCTCCCGCGCCGCCAAGGTCCTCAGGCCCGCGATGTCGCTCGTCGCGATGTCCGCCGGCCTCCGCGGTAAGTGAAGCGCCTGCTGCCACCCCCTCCTGCGACGACAGACGCGCGCCATGCTCGGGCTACTACTGGACTGGACTTGTCGAGCACCGAAAGGAACACGATCGAGACGGCTAGCTTGATCCGCGAGGGCTGTTGTTCGACTCGGTCTGTTGCGCGGGCTGAGGCGGGGGGAAGACCGGTCCGTGTACCTCTCAGCACCGGTACAAGGAGTGGACGCTGCTCTGCTGCCGCTGGTCCTGACATGAACAACAAAGCTTGGCCAACACCTAATATTCTCGCTTTCGTTTCACGCCGCTGTCGGCGCGGTATGGGCCACACACACCACCAATAAGAAGCATATAATGCAAAACTCTTCTCTGCCGCAGCGGTGCGCGCTGCGGGGATGGCCGCCGGCGTCGGCAGCGTCCGGGACCGTCTGAGCGCCAGGATCCAGTCCGGCATCCAGGACCGGCGCAACGCCATGCGCATGGGGCGCAAGGAGATCTGCTACGGTGAGTACTAGGTAGTTTGCTCCTGTTCTGTCAGGGCCATAAAGTCACTCTCTGCCCCTGCTATAGGTGCCGAACAATGAACGCCCCCCAGGTAGGAGAACGCGGTCAAACGCGTCAAACGCACTCTTGCCCAAGCCCCAGCACCTGGGCGCACCGGGCAGACCGCTGGCTTTGCACGGGTGTTCTGCGGGTTGGCCTACCCACCGTGAACAGGCGTTATCACTGGCGTCGCCTTGCGAAACATGTCACTGTAGACACCTTAAAAATACTGTCGTTCTCCAGGGGGCAATTACTCCCTTTAAATGTTTTCGCATGATCCCCGAAATCCTTGATTCCCAGTGATTCCCGCCCTCTTACGTTCATTCCTTAGGTTTTCTATCTCGACTAATTTGTACGTTATTTCTACTAATTTGTACGAATTCCACTAGTCTCTCGCTTATTTTAAGCGATGTCTGTTGATTTCGTTTGATTTTTATCCTGTGATTCCCCCCAGGCAGGTGTACACGCATGATTGCCCCCTCGGTCGTTCTCTACAACGTATTACCATGCGTTCGGAGTTCCTCTGAACTTGTACGGATTTCATCCTAGACTACCCATGAATTATCCTCTCGTAAACGTTGGATTACATTCCGGATTCCCCTTTTCTCTGTCTAAGAAGCGAATTACCCGTCGATTTCCTTTTGCCCTCGGCGTAGTACCTCCATCGCGACGCGTGGCCACTGTACCCTCGACCTGGCGCCGGGTGGTCCCCGCCAGGGCAGCAAAGCTGGATGGCATTTAGGGGAGAGGGCACGGGGGCTCGTCCGCAAGCGAACAGAAGAAGATATAGAAAGATTCGCGGGTGGAAACCTGCCACGCGCGTAAACACGTAAACACACAGACCCCGTCCTCGCTCCGCCGAGCTCCGGCAGCCTCAATGCCACCCCGGGTGCCCCGCCGCCGCCCCCGCCCGCGCAGCCCTCTGCTGGCACGGGCACGCACCGCGATCCGCGGGTCCGCCCGCGACCCTCCCCCTTGGAAACCTGTCCTCCCTCACCTCCCACCTACCATGCCTTTCCTCCATTCTCGCGTCGTTTAGCAGCAGCAGCAGCAGCAGTAGTCGGGCCGGCCGTGGCGGGCTGTGTTGTGGTCGAGGAGATGACCCGCGGGCTGGCAGGCTGTCGCCGCGGCCCCGCGCTGCCCCCGCCGCGCGCCTTGGCCCGGTTGCCCATAATACGGAGCGTCCCAATAAACAAAAAGGAAGGCGACACGCCCCGTCCCCGGTCCGCACGCGCCCATCAACATGGGGCGACGGACGGCCGTGGTGCGCGGCCCGCCCGGGCGAGCCCCGCCCCGCCTGTTTTACCCCTTTGGCGACGGCCGCCCGGTGCGTCGTGAACCCTGGCGGCGCCTCGCCGTCCAGAGCCCCACTTGGCGGGGTTCCATTTCATGAGATCAGGCGGTTGCATCAGCGGTATAAGCGTCGGGCCGCGCGACCCTCCTATCCGTTGAACAATGCGCGGTGCGAGGCGGGGCTGGATGATGGGCGGGGGAGGGCGGCGGCGGCTGCGATATGGTCCCGCCCAGCCCAGCGCGCGGCTCCACAGGGTTGACTGACCTCCGGGAGCGGCTCAAGGTCGCGAGCGTCACTTTCACTGTTCAGCTCAGCTCATCGTCGGGCCGTGAGAAGAGACGCCCCCTTCGCGTCTACGGTAGGAGGGCGGCAAAAACCGCGCCGGCGCCGCGGTCCCTGTGGTTGGTATGTAGGCAGCACGGTTCCAGCGACTCCTCGTTGATCGTCACTTACCCGAAAAGTGAAGGACGCCGCCGCGGCGCGCAGGACCTAATTGTACACGAGCAGGGCGTGAGGAGGCGGCGGCGCGGGGAGCGCTTGCGGCAACATGGACGGCGCGACGGTGGTGCACGCCGGCCGCGCGTGAACTTGGCGCACGCCCCGCACGGCCTGCACGCTCAAGCAGCGTCACCTGTAGCTAATTAGCGTTTAGTTGTAGACTTGGATGCGGTCTGAAAAGCCCTCACGTCGCGGCAGCGGTGGCGGTGGCGGTGGCGGCGGGGCCCCCCGAGGCTGCAGGCGGCGGGGCGAGCTTGGGCAACCCAACGGCTCCATTCAATCATGACCGTGCTGTCCTGGTCGAGGCGAGGGTATATATGCGCCTTTGGCGCCGCGCCGCGCCCGGGTTACGGGTCCAGCAAGCCACCGCGATAGTGACTCTGTGCTCGCTGAACCGCCTTTTGCCTGCCACGCCCGCCTTGCTCCGCGCACAGGTGGTATGGTGTGATTATCGACGGGTGGTTTTTCGTATCACGTATTACCCGGCTGCTTTTCGTTTCGCAGCCGGTAGTATCCATGTCCTGCGAGGCGGACGCGAGGCTGCGGACCGGGCGGACCCATTGTTTGTCATCCTGGCGCTGCGCCACGCCGCGCCACGCCCGCCCCGGTATGACCGCACTGCGTTACTTAATATTTGGGTCCGGCCGGTCGGCAGTAACGGGCGGTGTCACACACACACACACACACACACACACGACGCGTTGCGACACTGAAAACCAAATGGAAAAAAGAAACTGATTAGGTCGTCGTGTGCGCGGGAGCCACGCCTCCGATGTGCGAGACCGGCAGCTGCTCTGCTGGCGCTGGAGTGGGCAATAAGCTGTCACAGCTGATGTGGCGCGCGTGGCTCCATAAGGAGCAGTTTTTCAAATCAAGCAGCCCACCCCGCCTTGTTTTTTCACCCCCTAAAAACAAAAAACAAAACGGCCGTGCTCGCGGCTCATGAAGCTAGCTGCACAGCCTGCCTGCCTCGCCTCGCGGGGAGGGACTCTAGCGAGGAGCAGCGGCGGCGCCGCGGTGGTGCCGGGTAAAGACGAGCACGGGCCGAACGAGCCGTTACGTCATGCACGCGCGCCGCTCGAAACAGATTCCGAACGGCCAGTGACTTACTGACACGGGGTGGGGCGGGGCGGGGCGGGGCGCGAGGTGGCCTGTAGTGCCCGCGCCCACCTTAACGGCCTGCACCTCGGGTACGCGGTCACCACCAGCGCGGCCGGCGCTGGTCGCTTCCCGTATGGTCACGGCGGGCGACACGACGACACGGGTCGAGCCTCGCGCCTCGCGCCTCCTCGGCTGCGTCCAGAGACACATGGGTGTCTTGGGTGCCACAACCACGCTAACAGCATAGAGCAGACACAGACACCCAAGACACCCACGCGGCTCTCTGGACACGCAGCTCCCTTCGCGTCACCCTCACGGCGCGACCGGCAACCAGCGCCCCGCCCCACCGCGGCTGGCCGAGGAACAATCACGATCTGATCACTGCCTTGCCCACACCAACGTCGCCGTCACCGGTCCCGAAGGGGGCGGGACAGCCCACTTCCGGGCAGCCCAAAGTAAAGAGGGGTTCGCGGTTTGCCCAATCCATCCTCTCGGCCCGAGCCGCGCCGCCACCGCCGACAACGACGACGACGTAATTTGGCAATTCCTATTTTCCGGCCCCCTTGTCAACATACTACTACAGCGGGGTGCAGGTGGTGCGCGACACACACGGCGAGCCGGTCAGCGGCGGCAGCGGTGGCGGTGGCGCAAGAAGGACTCCCGGAGTCCCGCAGCAAGCATACTACGTACTCCTTTTTGTTGTTGCGTGCGACTGTTGTGCGCCTCCCGCGTCCAAGTCTCCCATAGCCTCCTTGTGCTTGCTCCCGCGCGCGCTGACGAGACGCAGGGTCGCGCCGGAAGCAATGCACGCACGCGGGAGCCGGCCGGCCGCGGCCCCCCCCCCCCTTTCTTCCTCCTCCCTGGCGCCACCATGGCACCGCGACAGTTTTCGGCCGCCGTCCCGCGTCCCGCCGCCCCCGCGCGGGCCGCGAATGAAGACGAGGCCGGTAGCTACTACTGAACGGACTAAGGCTGAGTATACGCCGATTCACAATAAGTTGCGCGGGGCGGGGCGGGGC